ACTGAAAGCGGAGTCACAGATAGACAGAAAGGTGAAGAAGGCATTTGCGCGCTTGCCTTCTTTGGTCATAACATTGACTATAGGATTTGGAATGTCATGTTTGGGCTGTACAGGACTTTGGTGAGGCCACTTTTAGAATATGTGTACAGTTCTGCTTGCCCTTCTATAGAAAGGATACTGTTAACTTGAGCGTGCAGATATGATTTACAGGACTGGAGGGTTTGAGCTATTGGCAGAGCCTGAATAAACTGGGGCTTTTTCCCCTGGGATATCAGAAACTGAGGGTCATTTTTTATAGAGGCTTACAAAATCATGGGGGGGCATGGATAAGGTGAATAGCCAAGGTCTTTTTCCCAGGGTGGGGGGGTCGAAAACTAGAGGGAATAGGTTTAAGCTGAGAGGGGAAAGATTTAAGGTTATCAAATTACAGAGGGATCTTGATCAGATGGGTAAGTGGACTGAGGATTTGCAAATTCAATTCAATACAGATAAGTGTGAGGTGTTGCATTTTGGAAAGTCAAACCAAGGTAGGACTTATCCAGTAAATGGTAAGGTCCTGAGGAGTGTTGTGAAACAGAGGGATCCAGGGGTACAAGTATATAGTTTGTTGAAAGCGGCGTCACAGGTGGACAGGGTGGTGAAGAAGGCATGTAGCATGCTTCATCGGTCGAGGCATTGAGTATAGGAGTTGGGATGTTATTTTACAGTTGTATAAGTCATTGGTGAGGCTGCACTTGGAGTATTGTGTACAGTTTTGGTCACCCTGTTGTAGGAAAGACATGGTTAAACTGGAAAGCGTGCAAAGAAGATTCACGAGGATGTTGCCAGGACTAGTAGGCCTGAGTTATAGGGAGAGGTTGGCCAGGATAGGACTTTATTCCTTGGAATATAGGAGAAAGAGGGGTGATCTTTATTGAAGTGTATAAAATCATGAGGGGCATAGATAGGATGAATTCATATAGTCTTTTCCCCAGGGATGGGGAATTGAAAACTAGAGAGCATAGGTTTAAGGTGAGAGGGGATAGATTTAAGAAGGACCTGAGGGGCAACTACTTCATGTAGAGGGTGGTGCTTATATGGAATGGGCTGCCAGAGAAAGTGGTTAAGGCAGGTACAATAGCAACATTTAAAAAAACATTTGGATAGGTGCATGGATGAGAAGGGTTTAGACAGATAAAGACCAAATGTGGGCAATTGGAACTAGCTGAGTGGGCACCTTGGTCAGCGTGGACCAGTTTGGGTCGAAGGGCCTGTTTCCACTCTATGATGCTATGACTCTATTCACCTGATCAGCCATTGAATTGAAGAACAACTTTCACTTTTTACAGGTATCAAAGTTCATCTTTGCAAAAATCAAAAGGACTGTGAGGAAAATAATTTGTTATTTTCTTGTCTTCTGATCTTTGGAATTTTGGTTTCTTTTCCCTTTCAAAGTGCTTGTCTTAATTGTTCGTCTTTGTCTGTCTTAATTGTAATTGAATGTGTATTTGGTAGTTTGGAGTGAATACAGTTTAATTTGCATAAATTAGAAATCCATTTGTTTCACTGTTCTTGTTAATGTGTGTTGTTGGCAGAAGCTGTAATGAATCGCTTTTGTCCTGAGTAGTAGTAAATCAGTCAATTTGGTCATTTTGATGGCCTTGTTGGGATTTTATACATTTTGTGATAGCTTGTGGAATAGTTGGACATGATTATTGGTTTGCTCTTCTGAGTTGAGCCATGACAAAAGTGACTAAAACCTTTATATTAAAAAAATGGGTTATAAAAGAGGTCCTTAAAGGGGATGGATGGAAGGATTAGGGCACGAGCTTAGGTACATGTGCTAATGGCACAGCCACCAATGCTGGGCTAGCGGGAGAAGTTAATGGAAGTGACCAGAGGTGAAGGAATGCAAGGTTATAGGTGAGCTTTGGATGTGGACTTACAAAGACACTGAGGATCAAGATCGTATGTGATATAACAAAAACGAACATTTAAACTCTGAGGTATTGGAAAACTACAGCCAACATACATCAGCAAAGGACATCACAGACCGACTTTTGTTTAACAAAAATTCTTTCATTCATTAAATGAGCATGTCACTGGCTGGGTCATCATTTATGCTCGTTGCCCTTGTCATGGTGGTGAACTGCCTTCATGAGCTGCTGCAGGCCATGTGTTATGTAGACCCACAATGCCGTTAGGGAGAGTTCCAGGCTTTTGACCTAAAGACACTGAAGGAATGGTAATGTATTTCTGAATCCAGAACTAGGGGATACAGTCTACATGGGAGAAATTTCTCCTCGTCTCAGTGCTAAATGATCTACCCTATTCCAAAGGAACCTCAGTGTTCTTGTTCAGAAGTTGCTAAAAGCTAGTATGCAGGTGCAGCAAGTACTTGGGAAGGCAAAAGGGCATTCATCACAAGATGATTTGAGTACTGGCATACACTGCAGTCCTTGGTGAGACCTTACCTGGAGTACCGCGCAGAGTTTCTGGTCCCCTTGAAACAGAGGGAGTGTAATGGAAATTCAGCAATTAATACCTGGGATGGTAGAATGTCATCTCAAGATAGGGGTAGGTCATTTAACACTGAGAATGTTGTGGAATTCTTTCTCAGAGGGTAATAAATCTTTGGAATTCTCTTCCCAAAAAGGCTGTAAAAGCCGAATTATTGAGCATGTTCAAACATAAATCGATACATTTCTGGAGATTGATGACATCATGCGATGTGGAGATAGAATGGGAAAGTGGCATTGAAGTAGATCTTTAGCCTTGATCTAATTGAATGGCAGATTCAACAAATGCAATGGCCTACTCCTTTCCTATGTATCTTATTTAGGACATCTGCCTTCCCCTTTCCTCCACAATGCTCTTTTATGCCACCTTTTTACTGTTTGTGCTTAGAGAAGACTTTTGGATTCATTTTATGTTAGTTGCGTCTCTTCTCATTTTCTTAGTTGTTTGTTGACTTTTCCTCTGAATCTTAACTATTCAGCGTGGTTCTCAGTTGGATATCTGCCAAAAGCATCTTTTCTGCTTCATCTTGCTCTTCTTCATTCACGGAGCTGTGGAGTTGTTTCATCTACCTTTTCACATCATGGGAATATACTTGACTATACTGAACTATTTCCTGTTTAAAGGCAGCCAATTGTTCTGAAACTTGAAGTAAATTAGGATACAGGGGACAGAGATTTGAATGATCTTGAGTTTCTGGATGATTGAGAATGTACATATGAAGCTTTCAGCAAGGAGTGCCCTGAAGTGAGACAGATAGCAGTAATGTTATGAAGTGGAAATAAACAATCTTCCTGACAGATTATGGGTTGCATGTTCAGCTCGGTATTAAAGATTTCACTGAGGTTGCAAATGATCAGTAAAGGTGCAAAATTTGAATTGGTGTCAGAGTGCTAGTCAAGATCAGCAGCTACAGTGCCAAATTATACACAATGATGCAGAAATGGAGAAGGCCATTGTCACAGTCTGATAGTACCGAACCAGATCAATTCATCCCCATAAGCCTTCTTTGCAGCATTCCCTCACACATTCCTTACTGCCTCTTGAAGGTTGACACCAAATCTTTGCATTGCAGTTACTGTACAGGAACACAACCATCTGCCTACTGGAGGCCAATGTACTGTGGCCTTTGCTTACTTAATACCATTTAACTTTGAACTGATAATAAAAACGTAAATAAGCTGTGCTTAGTTGAACTTCAGTACAGAAGTGCCTGGACTGTCCAGTTGAAGCTCCCTGCGTGTGGAATAGAGACAAGACTTGACTATTGCAACTTGACTCAAATGTTGATATTTTTATAACAATATTTCTTGAACCTTTTCAATTGTTTCAATCTGGGACAGTGGCTCAGTAAGGAAATGGAAGTGCTTATATTAGCATGGAGTTTGTAGTGGGTGCTGACAATGATAAACGTAGGTAAAACCAAAGTTAACTGAGGAAAACTGCAGGTCATTTGGAACAGATTGTTGGACAAGCAATCTGACAAACATAGAGACAGTGAATAAGCCATGAGACGTGTGGGCACTAGAGCTGGGAATTAGATTTGTATATGTGGAATCTAACCACATGTTTTTGGATGATTTTGACAACAGGCAACATGTCAATGAGGAAGATGTGAGATTCACAGCTCGTACACATAGAAGCTAGTCACATCCCATAGTAATAAGTTATTGCTACTAGAAACCTGATGCCGTTTAACTGCACTCAACAGATGAAGTCAAATTTCAACACAATAAATTCATGATAAGAATCAGGTTGCAAAGAGCTTGCAACATTAAGCCTTCACTAATTACATTTCTAATTTTCACATTGATATTTGAATTATATTCTGAACGTAGCAGCCAAAGAATTAGTTTCTTAATTTAAAACAAGTGAAAAATGGAAGAGACTTTTTCTCCTGATTTTACTAATGCTTCATGATTTAGTACAGTTGGGAATTAGCAACAGAATTTCAGAAATTCACCACGAAATCAAGACACACCTTTAACTGTAATGTTGTAATTAGTTTTATTTACACCACAATAGCAAGTTGTCATAATGTGGTACAAAATACTGGACTCCTAATAAAGTCAAAAATGAAGTCTGTACTGTCAAGGAGATACATCATTGGTCAGACTGAAAGCCTGACCCATTTCAACAGGCAAATGAAGACCATCAAAAGCTACCACAATAAGGCTATCACCAATAAAGTAGGTCCATACAATAATTGATTGTGGCTAAAATACAGAAAATCAGTTCACTGGTACTGATAACAATGGTGGTGTCATTTTGAATGTGGATAGGTACAAAGAAGGTTAAAATATAATTACAACTTCCATCACTACATACCTGAAATAAAAGTTTTTGGGTGAACAAACTTTAAAATCCATCTCACTCATTTTTCATCCCCTCAAACTGGAAAAGAAAACAAAAGGCGCCTCCACTATGGAGCACAAAATGTAATACATCGTAACGTGATACTTTGCAGTCAATATCAAAACACGGAGGAAAGTGAGGCTGACAGGTAGCCATCGCTCCTGCTTCGTAACTACAATACCGCCCCCAAAAAACCTCTCTTAGTAAATATTCATCCACATCGATCACAATACACAACTGCTAAGTGGATTACCGCTACACGATTTATGGTGGCAGAGATAAAGAACAGCTGCGCTGAAAGGTTAACTGTTTATGGATCTTAAATACTTAGTCCAGAAAAAAAAAATGCTCGTCTCAAAAGGGTTGGCCCCAAGAAGACACAGGCAGTTAACAGTTTTACCATTTTTTTGCTGTGTGTTCTTAAAACTTTATATGCAGGTTATGCAATATTCTACTGGTAATGACACAAGTGCTAGATTATTTTTTGTCAAATTTAAGTATCGTGTTATAACAGTATTAAAGAGACTGATATTTGAAGATATTTCAATAAGACAGAGGCATCTCTTTCTGAGGTTTGCTAATATATTCATCAGAAAAAATGTCAAAACCTCATCTTCAGATGCCATGAAGAAAGAAAGCGAAACTCGGTAAGCTGCCCTGGAAACAACTTCGCAAATTGCGTGCATACCTGTACAGAACAAATGGTATCTCTGCTTGTGGCACATGCAAGCTCACTATCTTCCATATGAAAAAGAAAACAGTTCAATGCCCCTTAAAAGAAAACAAACAATGGGCCCTCTTAAAACAATGTTTAAATTCACCTTATCAAAAGAAGGAATGAATACATAACTCCCACTTATTTAAAGGAATGTTTAACATCAAGAGTAGATGCAAACAGTTTCTTAAAAGTCACAGAATTGATGTGTTAATTGCTTTGCAATCAAACATACATAATCCTATAGAAAGTGTGGAACACTGTCTTAAAGATTACAGCTGGTTATATTTTATGTTGTGTAAATCTGTTTTAAAACAAAAATACAGTAGTGCCCTTATTCAGTGTTGCCAAACATCTCACACACACACACACATGCTCCACATACTCCTCACAGCGCTAAATTCATTAAGCTTCAAGCAACCATTACAAAAGGAGGAATGAAAACCATTTACTCATAGAGAAAAAAGTTACTAGTTAATGACCCCCAATGTCAGTTGTTCCATAAATTCCAAGAGTGAGCGTGCTTGTGTACATGAACAGATGACAGGATAGTGCACCTTCTTCCACACTGTAGCGATAATGCTGTTTTACAGCCAAGGCTTCAACCAGCATTTGTCACATTCTGGGGCCAACCCAATCAACTGCAGAATGGAATCAAACATGGGCCCAGGACCAAGCACTTTCCACCCCTGTCAATAGCTGATAAACACAGCTCACAGATCATACTGTAAAAAGTCAGTCTTTGGACAAAATCCAAATAACAACCTTCCTTCCTTGGTTTCAGAGTGGAGCAACTGAAAACCTTAATGCTAACTCCCCCTTAGCAAACGGCAGCCTTCTGCAGTGCAACCAGTTACAAATATCAAATATAGTATCACTGTAGTATTACTCATATTTAAATGGGTATGATATCACCTTGCAATACTATTCTTACAAGACTTCATTTATAAATCTACTTAGAACAGATCATATAGTAATATACACCAACTGGAATCATTACACAAAGTTTGAACAAGATCCCTCACTCAAATTACTTTCTCCTGAAAATCTCCAGTACACTCCTTTTAAGCTGTCAGAAAGCTACGTTCCATGTAGGAAAAAAATAAGGAAAATTAAAATTAGACTGGAACCAAGGACTAACCACAAAAAAAAGTCATGAAGAGAACAGAAGGATTTCAGAAAAATATCAGTGGTAAAGGTAACTGGAATTCTTACCAAAAAAGTAATTAAAAAAAAACAAGTTATTAGGTCTTATGAAACATGGTTTAAAAACTTGTAAGGATTTCTTTATATAAAAGTAGATATTATTTGTTAAATGGTTTACCAGGAGTAAAAATAAACACAAATTTTTAAAAAAAAGCAATGATTAAGGTAGTTGCCAAGTGACTTAAACATGTTGGCTGACCACAAACTTTCATAGTGAGGTACTCCTCTAAGTATCCACAATCCATCTTTTCCCATCGTCAGTAAAAAGCCATCGTTTTCCCTGTAAGTGCCCATCAAATAAAATCAAACTTGGTCTAAGAAAACATTTGTACATGATTATCTCCTGTATTATTAACAAATTACCTGGTCTTATCATCAAAAGCCTCTTGTTGTCTAATGGATAAGAGATTATTATTGGTTTTCAGTTTCTATTAGAAATGAGGACCACCGAAGTGGAAGTTTGGAAAAAAATCCTGCATCATGCTTTTGAGCAACATTCCAATTTTTAAACGTTTACCTGTTGCAGTTCAACCTAACACATGCTTTGTTATTGGTTGATTCCCTATACTACTCTGTTACATAACCCAGCATAAGAATTAAAGCAGGTTTTAATGATAACCTGACAATTTCCAACAGTATATCTGCCACTCTGGACTGGCAACTACCTTAAAATAGGTTAGGATTTGTTTGGACAAACAGCAAAAATGGTACTCCAATAGGGTATGAAAATCCAGGCAAAGACTGGATCTTGGATTTTTTTTGCACACATGCCAGGAAACACAAGGCTTCTTCATCACCATTTTTCCACATAACAATGGAGGAATCATTTCCACACTTTTAAGGCATTGTTCCTCAATTCAAAATCAGCAACCAACTGTTGATAAAAAGGCACAAACGCTCATGTCTTCATAGGGATTCTTAGAAAACACCCTCTTGGTTCTCTTCCATTCTGGTATAGTCTCTCTCCACACTGTAAATGTTCTCTGAATAATTACTGTATGTCACATGATTTTGTTGAGATTACAATCAACACATCCGGACTTGTAGGTGGCATTAAATCCTTTGCTAAAGGACAAGAACATTAGAAACAGTGGTTGACTGCCTGAGACAGGAGAAGTTTTAAGTAGGTAAACTCAGAGCAGAGCTTTGAGATTACATCTCCTTGGTGACTCTGCCAAAGTAAATGCTGGCTGTCCCACAAGCCTATTTCAGGAATGGACAGAGAGGTAAAAAAAACTTTTACTTTTTTTTATTGCCAGCATTTTGCCCAGTTGTCCTTGGATTCTGGAAGAACACCACAGCAGGACACAGGAGATACAGAATGAAGTCTTGGCAGAGTTAGAGAAATAAAGATATTGTGTGCAAAAGCTGGTAACTACATAGGTGGCTCTTCCTCCATGGGTTCGTCATCTGGCCTGCGGGAAAGGAAAAGAAAAAAATGCTAGTAACTTACAAACAGAGAGAAAAAAAACAACGGTTTCTTAGATAGTAGAAACTGCAGATGCTAGAGAATCTGAGATAACAAGGTGTAGAGCTGGATGAACACAGCAGGCTAAGCAGCATCAGAGGAGCAGGAAGGCTGACGTTTCGGGCCTAGACCCTTCATGTTTCTGAACAAGTCCACACACCAGCAAGTGTATCATAACAAGTGCTGTTTTCCCAAGAAGCTAACACCATCATTTCCCAGCTATCAACACAAAAACAAGTCTTGTTTACAGTGTCAAAAGTGAGATATTCCTTCCTGTCTCACCTCTTCTCAGTATTAGATCCTTGTTTAACCCCCATTGACAATGAAGCCATAGCTGTCACCGTGTCAGCTTCTTCCTTATCACACCTCTGGGCCTCTATCAGCGAATAGCCCACAGTTGAGGAAAAGCGCTGTAACGACTTCCAGTATTTACCTAAGAATGTACAGAAAGGCCATTAATAAACACAAGCCTTGATCATCTGTTGAAAGGGTCTGTTGGCAAGACAAATTTAGAAAAAAATATTCAAGAATGTGTTATTTTAAATGAATTGACACCTCTTCAATAGTTGATAGAGAACTTTCATGCAAACAAGTTCAGTTAATGTCACCAACTGCAATTTTTAGGACTATACTTTCACAGTGGAGTAATTGCATTCCCTCTATTACTGTGAAAAAAATGGATTTTTGCTGAAAAAAGCCTGACAAAATACCGGGTAAAAATACTGAAATAAGTTATTTTAGTGTTATGGACATTTTCAATCAACCTGTTCAAAGATGTTACAACTACCTCTGGAACAGGTTGGCCTTGTAGCCAGACATCCTGGCTCAGAGGTAGGGACAGTACCGCTGCACCACAAGGGTCCTTGCAATTGAATTATACAGGTAGGAGTTACAACTAATTGCATTTTGTTTAACATCACAGTTTTCACAAGTATTTCAGGCTGTCACCTTTAAACATTTTTTGTCATATCTGCACCGCAAGCATGCATTTTAAATGTGAGACAGTCCTTTTCTTCACAAATATATTTAAAGAGGTTTATTTCTAAAAATGCTATTTATATGCAGCTGTATTGAGAACTCAAAAAAATGCCCTCTAGTGGAGATATTAATTATTTCTTGTAATTTATATACATTAAACTAAACTAACATTGAAAGCTCTTTTGAGACCAATTTGCAAGTACTTTGGTTGGTTTCATTTGATGAACGTGTAACATTTCCTTCCTCTACAATAAATTTTTCCATACCAGGCAAAAAAAATCTTAGATGCACTGCCAACACCTTCTTAAATAAGCAATTCTAATCCCAGTTTACAGCAAGAGCCATGCAATGTAAACAAATGATGTCATAATGTCATTCCTTGTTCTATCTAGTGTCTAAATAGGTTATTGCAGGTTGCTATATGAATGACATCACAATACTATTTCATCAGGTTTAGTTTTGACTGTTAGCTTAGAGGCATCAACAAGGGAAAAATTGAAAGTGCACACTCCAATTTAAAGTTTAATGCAGACAGCTTCTGAAAACTGCACCAATCCCACTTAGTGCCTTGAACCAGCCAGTCCTCGCTCTCACTTTTAATATGGTTTTTAAGCAAGAAATTAAGTTTTAGTTTTTCTACACACAGAAGTACAAATATTTTTAAAAGTGGTTATTTCTTGCCTTCAGCTTTCTTTAACTCTTCCTCCTAGCATTGCAAATCCTTCCTCTCATGCTCATCCCTGCCAAATTCACTCAGTCCTATATATTCAGAAATGATGAGACCAGGAGACTAGTCTGGAATGGCTGCTGCTTACACTTTCTCTGATTTCCCTCTTCAATGAGTTGAAGAGTTTTATCTCGAACAGTCAGCTAAGTTCACAGAATCCACACATGGGAGGTCATGGCAGAAAACAGAGCTTTATGGCTCAAACATGTGCAAATGTAATTCAGGTTAACTAACCATCTGGTTATAGAACTAAAGTATTGATGATATTTCCTGATTGCATATTGCATTTGAAAAATAAAGTGTTTTTTCTTCACAAATATTTTAATATTTTTACTGCTTACATATGGTCAAATGCTTCAAATATATCAAATCCCAAGGCTTTAGGTGATACAGAACAAAAACTACCAGTGTTTAGGTGCTCACTGAGAACATCCCTTGTAAAATTCTGTGCAGAGTCAGAAGGGTGAGGACTCTGTCTTGTTAGGACACTAAAGGCAACAAGGGAAGGTCTGGGGCTCATTACTCATTCTTCCCGAGCTGCAGGAAAACAGAGCTCACTGCCAGATGCTTTATGTATACCAATATTCAGTGACATTCTCAATTACATCATTACGTTTAATCTGATATTTTTTTCCTTCCAAAGAAAAGGGAAGCTTTGAAGTTCAACAAAAGTGGGTCTGACCTACCACTAAATCAAATATTGTAAGTTAGTTAATTCAACGTAGTCACTGTAACAGATATAACAGCAGAAAATTGGTATTGTTCTGTTGTTTTCTAGACTCACTTTGTATTTCAATTACATTTTCAATGGAACGAACAGCATTGGGATTTGGTCTTTGCTGCAACACTTCTTGTGTGAATGGCTCCAGCTGAAGGGAAAAAAAAATCCAAATCAAACAGTTAACTTTTCACTGCAAAGTACAAAACCTTTCATTTCTTTCTCTTAATGAAGCATAGAATTTTTCCCCTGAATCTGTTGTGCAAAATTGCAAACACATACTAACATGCTGAATCTAAATGGGAATCAAAATTTTTTTTTTTTAACCAAACTATTCTGCAGTGTGTACAGAATAAACGGGGCAGTTGACGGTCAGCAAATTCTAACTTGAAAATTGAGTGCTTCAAATTTAACTTAAAAAGTATTTTAGGGTTAACAGAGCCAAGGCCCTAACCCAACCTGCTGTTTTTTTAAAAGAGAAACCAGTCAAATATACATCTTCGAAATCCGGATACGAATTACTTCCTGAAAATGCAAATACATGCACATGATTTCCAATATGTAATTTTGCTGTTTGGTAATGAGTCAAGTTACTTTCAACCGTTCTGAAATATAATTGTTTTTATTCACCTTTCTGCATTTGAAGCTTTTCTGTACTTGAAAAAGCAATTTAAGATAATAAGCCAGGAAGTACAATGCGGAGCAACTCCATTCATTTTTTTTTTGTTGGAATACTGATTCTCCGATAGTCAGTGCTACTGTGCCAACTCCTTTTCCTACTTTTATCTTTTCTTTCAATTGTGATTCACAGACGAATTTAGGCACAAAAAAGAACAACATTTTTGAAAACAAAATAAAACTCTCAAATTACCATAGTTACATCATAAAATACAAATTCCACACATCTACAGCTCTGAATACACCATTATTATTTTCCAAGAAAACATACAACAGGAAACTAAAAATTAGTTATGAACAAGAGACCCTCTACACTTAATGAATGCAGTGTCTATTGTCAATATTTATAACGCACAGAATAGTCTAAAAAAACACACTATTCTGTGATAGAGAAATAAGACAGGAGAATAAAGGTTCTGGAACACAGCTGTTTATTAACAGCTTCACAAAAATAAAACTGCAGAATGCACTGACATAACTCTTAGGTTAATCATTTTCTTTGCTGAAAAAGCATAAGAGTAATAGTCTTACTTGTAAGTTCCAAAATTTGAAATGGCTCCAGTTGTGCAGGGAACTGTGCTTAGAAGCAATTCTACAGAGCTGATGGATGCAAGTCAGATAAATTTAAACCATCTCTCACAATACAGATTTCTATACAGAATTCGGACAGTGTGGAATTAGGCCATTTGGCCCATCAAGTCCACACCTACCTCCAAAGAGTATCCTATTCCTGTAACCCTGCATCTCCCATGGCCAATCACCTAACCTGCACATCTCTGAACTGTGGGAAGAAACCAAGGACCCAGAGGAAATTCACACAGACAGTTGTCTGAGGGTGGAATCAAACTCAGGTCCCTGGTGCTGACAGGCAGCAGTGCTAACCACTGAGCAACCGTGCCACTCATCACATGGCAGCCACCTATCATTTGTACAGAGCTGAAAAGACCTGGGATTATTAAAAACAATTGGGGAATCTTAGAATAGGTACTATCTATTGGAGTGGCACAGTGGTTAGCACTGCTGCTTCACAGCGCCAGGGTCCTGAGTTCAATTCCACCCTCGGGCGACTGTCTGTGTGGAGTTTGCACATTCTCCCCGTGTCTGTGTGGGTTTCCTCCAGGTGCTCCAGTTTCCTCCCACAGTCCAAAGATATGCAGGTTAGGTGGACTGGCCATGCTAAATTGCCCGTAGTGTTCAGGGAGGTGTAGATTAGGTGGGTTATAGGGGGATGGGTCTGGGTGGGATGCTCTGAGGTTCGGTGTGAACTTGTTGGGCCGAAGGGCCTGTTTCCACACTGTAGGGATTCTATCTGAATTTACATCAAGCTTACATGTGAATAATAACTTTACTTGGCTGGGATCAAATCCCAACAACTTTATACTGAATGGGGATGTGGGGGATGGGATCACTTGATGGGAGAGGTTGGCTTTTCAATTCTATCTGTTAAGCAAAGGTAAGATTTCATTGGAGTATTGAAGGATCAAAATGTTCTGTAGAAATGGTTTTCATTTAGCCATGCTGTTTCTTGGTGTGCAAATTTCAGGGAAAAAAGGCATGAGACATATGAAAAGCAATTTCAAATCATCCAGGCCAATTTATACTTTAGACTCTGCATGCAACAACCTTGGGCAGTCAAGTTTTTATCCACCTAGTGCTTTGATGTGTGATAAACTCCTAAGTTAATGCTCAAAACCACAGCTTTTAGAAGGAGCTTCTTTTATGCAAAGATTATATAATATTAAAATGTCAACCTTCCCACTGTGCCTATTCAAACTTCTTCACAAAATGTGGATCATATCACTAGTTATATTTCATTCAATTTCATTTTCAAAATCAGAAGGAAATGAGTCAATTACATCAGCTTTTTGTCTTTAAGACACAAAATATTGGTAAAACCTATCAAGAGACCCTATGAAACACCTCATTATTTCTTTTCTAAATTAGTACTTTCATCCAAAGGCATGAAACTTACTCAAGCGTTCATCCACTGACAGCATACCCGAAGATCACAAAATAAACAAATCTACAGGTTCACTTTTCCAGCTATAATGAGCACGTGGTCTAGCAGTTTAACTGTGTGCATGTGTGTGTTAAATGTTAGTTTGGTCTGAATTCCAGCAGAAGTAATTTCATGTTAAAGTCAAGTAAGTATTTACAGTTCTTTGAATTATCTGCTATATTCTGTGTCTCCATGATTCTGGAAGGAGTCCAAAGCAAATAAAGTATGCCTTTTTCTCCACTATCCTATCTACAACTGTCTTTTCTTCTTCCCGCTTTCAAATGAAAAACACTACGGAAATAAAATCACAATTGAAATTCACAGTTCAGCAGCTAATCTGGAAGAATGAAATAAATACAGTTGTCCACAATTTTTAAAAGACACATCAAAGGGTTAAGCACACAATCCTGTGATTAATTTTCCTTCTGGTGCAGAACTTTATTTCTTTTTCCACATGAAAGCCCTTGTAATGCCAAAATTTCATTGTAAAGGAATTCAGAATTCAAACAAGAAGCTGTATGTTCCAAAATGTTCTGCACATACTTATACTGGAAACATGCTAACCTACTTTACTCCTGTGCCAGGAGGAAATAATGTGCGTTAATAACTATGAAAAAGATATGGTATAGTTTACAGACCATAGCGAGGTACTCTGTAATCTAACTGTGGCATGATACTAAGCATGATCAAACACTTGACTATGGACTTTTGATCCTTAACCTATCTTTTATAAAATACTATATTTAATCCATCAAAGACCAATTTGTTTCATTTTTTACTAAAATAATTATTAGCATAGGATTTAAGAGCCAAGACTTACACCATCTCACTTTCAGCTGCAGAGTTAAAATGAAGAACAAATGCTGTCTGAGCTATGTTTGTTTTGTGAGAGAGTCCGAAAAGGAAGTGAACAAATGCTTCAGAGAACACAAACATCGTCTTGTTCAAAGATATGGTGTAGCCTACAGTCATCTTGTTCAAACACTTCATTCCAGTGCCAGTAATAGCAAGTAGTATTTGTCAGGTCAGAGTAATAATGTCTCCTCTGAGTTTCAGTTTCACAAAGGCCAGGCCTCTGGTCAGGTCAAGGAAACTCCAGTTAACATTTCATCACAGTTTTTCCACATGCCAATTTGATCAATTTTCCACGGATCCAGCTGCAGCACATATCTATACATGTGTGCTGACTTCTACTGACATTCTTCCATTTTACAAGCAGACACCAGGACTAATGTTTGAAATTCCAGTGCGCTCACCACTGCAATGTGGCAGTCTGACAAATCCAAATGCCTGATTTCCCTCTTCCATACCGCCCACCCCCTCCAAACTCTATTTTAGTACTAGCAGGATATTCAAGTCTGTGAAAAACCCTTGCACAATTGACAAAATATCCTCTGAAAATACCATAATGTTTTCAAGGAATTAGTGGCAAATATTAGCTCTATGTGCACAGATCACTGTCTAAGTGCAAAGCTGGAACACATGGAATAAACTGTGATCGTAATATTTTGCATTCATATGAGAGTTGAAATTTTCTACTTGGTCCCTTTCAAATTGCTTTCCTCTTTCTTGTGATGTTATATAGAGGGGTCCCTGATTTTCAAATGTTTGACTTATGAACATCTGTACTTACGAACGCCATCTTGTACGGGGTGAAATTTAAAGATTGGATGTACAAACATCTCCTTACAAATGGCTGCTTCCCATTGTCCTGCATTATGTTCCAACTTGCGAACAAAGTGATTTGCGAATGGACTCCGGATGGAACCCGTTCACAAAGCGGGTACTGCCTATAAAGTTATATACAGGGTATCAGTTCAGCAGTTGTGGTTATTCAGTCCAAACTGTGACACTGCATCAGCACATTTCAAGGAATGTGGCAGGCACATGGGATATTTGTGGCAAACTGTGCAGATTCACTGGTCTCTTCTAGTCATAGTCACCATAATTCTGATTAAAACAGACAAATTTCAAGTAATTTCCAACTTGTTTTCTTGAAAAGAATTTATCATCCATAGGCAGGAGTTGGTAAATCCAAGACAGATCTCATGAAAAGGTTTGGTCGACAGTGCCACAGCATTGAAGCTGGAATGCCGAGTGCCAGTATCAATGGAAAAGCTGGTCTAGTGGAAGGAGAAGGCAGCCATCTCAGGATAGGACTGGCCATTCAGAACTGAGACAATGAGAATTTTTTACACTCAGAGGGTTGTGGGTCTTTGGAATTCTGTACCTCAGATATTTGGGGATGCTCATTCATTGGGCATACTCTGGACCAAGCGTGAGCGGCAGAGCAGGCATGAAGGGCTGAATGGCCTACTCCTGCTTCATAGAATTTGATTTATAGATTCTGTGTTGGCTGTTGTCCCTTCAAGCTTCATTCATGTATAAATGTGTTCTGGACCCTTTGGTTGTGTGTGCAGACTCCCAGAAAACTGGGTTCTACCTGCACTGGAGTACATTGAACTGATTGATAA